CATAAAACACGGTGTGTCTCGGAGGAGAAAAAGCCGAGTGATTTATCGTGAGAAGAGGGACATCTTTGGGCCTTCCATTATATTCCGGGTGCATGCGTCAGGTATATACCCTGGCAGGTGCTCGGTTGGTAACTTGCAACGCTATTGTATTTTTTATGTAATCCCAATAATTTTATTTCCTACGTTTGTTTATTTAATTTCAACAATATAATGTGAATTTTCGTAAGTAACTTTATGAATTCATCGGATATTGCTTCTATAATAAGTACACAAAGATTTATTAAATAATTGATTTTAATAAAACAGAACTTTTAAATATCTTAGCTACTTTGCAAGAATTATTTTACGAACGGATGCGAAAATTATTTAGTATATTCGGATTAATGAAATGTACAAGCTCCAAGAACTTCATCAATCAAACATTATTCAAAAAGAAAAAGTAACCCCGATGTTAAACAAATTTAAGAAAGTAAATTTTATTTCAATTTCAAGACGCAGTGAAAGTTTTTTAGCAATTCATCAATAATCAATGAACGCATTTTTACATACATTATTTTAATCACTTGCTACATTGCTATAGTGGCAAATTACGACCGCGTACAAATTAATTCTACGGAATATTAAAATACCGGCAGCTGTCACCTTCACACCTTTTTGCGGAGTTTGCTGCAGGACGGTTAAGGGCAGGGCTTAAGATGAAATATGTGGACACCTTAACGGCGCATTATGCACCTCGGCTGGTGTTAATTCCAAGTGAGCATTAATACCGCATTATCTTCGTTTCTATGTGCATTTTATACATCTGTAAAATCATATATTATTCTTTTTCATTTCAAAGTGTCTCTCTATCGCTTTAGATTTCTCTGTGTACTTTTCTAATAGTTTTATATAGCTCTGTATAGTTCATTACTACCAACGTCTTCCATTCTTTCAAATTCGATTTTTTATTTGTTTGTCTGTAAATCAAGATCTGATTTGCTATTTCAATTAAATTTATTCAACCGATCTTGCTTTTTACTTCTTCATAAAGCGTAATGAAGAGTTTGTTAATGAAGTAAAGTCTAATGATTAACTTTTTAGCTTTTTAATTCTTTTATTTAGCTTTTTGTAGTCTGCACTAGATCTGTAGATCTACAGCAGACTAGAAAGAATTAATATAGACTAGAAAGTATTAATAAAGTAAACATACTTCTTACTAGTCTGCTATAGATAACGACAATGTCATGATAACAATGATAAAAAATCATTCTAATTGTCTCGTATCGTTCAGAAGGGTTAAATGCTGCCATTAGAGTGGTTGGTTTGAGTTTCTAATTTTAAGCTTGAGCTCAGACTTACAAATTAGCATATATTAACATAATAGATTTGAGACATCATTAAACTATTTAAATTTTAATCAATTTAAATTTGCAGTGAACAAGTTATAGGCCTCTTACAATAAGTACAATTTTCTTGGAGGCTTATATGTCGAAACGGAATACATAAAATAAAGCTGGTATATAGTTTAAGGATATTATAGTAAAAGATATAAATAACGCTCAGTATAATAAAGAGCCAAAAAGTGAAACTAACAATTTTAAGATTCACAAAAAGAAAAAGAAAAGTATCTCCCACTTCCAAACCAGGCCAAAATTAACATTGAAAAGATCACAATGAGGCGAGGGTAATTGTTAAAACAATAATTAATAGCGATTATTGAGTAAAAATAATTGCCGGTTCCTTAAATAATGCCCCTCGGTAGATCTAATTCCCGATTCTTATAATCACTATTATTAAAATTCGGATCCGGCGTCGGTTCGGAACGATTCCTATCAAAACAGCTTTCCAACGCAACAATTGTTTTAATTCGGGAAACAGGAAAAAAAGAATTATGAATCTGTAATAACTAAGCTCGAATGTTGCATTGTTTTCTATGTTTTTTATCACTGTACATAACGCTCAATTTAATTGGTCGGATCTGTATCGAAGTATCAGATCTTAGTATTTAAAACTATTCATTACCGCTGTAAAATGATTCGATATTTAAATTGTCTTCACAATCACCAATTATATTTTTAATTTTTATTATCTATGCTGTCATTGTTGACGAAACAGTTATTAAAATCCGTTTGTTACCTGTACACAGAACGCTGGCAGTTAATAAAACATAGACGCTTCTCGAAAGTTATTTCATTAACGAATATCCCGGGTGAAAACGGTTTACACTAATTTAAGACAGTTAGATTATTTATTTACAGTTTTAACGCGTTCAGATGTTATTATATAATTGCTTTTAGCAGTAGCATTTTTGTATCGTCGCCTAGGAGCGTGACGTAGCGTCACGCGTGAGTGGGCGCCGTGCAGCGACCGTGTTTAGACAATTTTCTTGGCGAATTCCCCGCAAGGGCCTCGCCCTCATATAAATAACATAGCCTCGCCACCTCGCCCTCGCCTGATATTCGCCAGGTTATTACAATTTTTCGCGTTATGAATATCGTCGCGTGGAGCCTTAATATCCCTCGCGCCGAGGGAGTCACACCTCAACAATTTTACTTTAATTCTTATTTAGAGTGCCGCCTTATTTCGGTTACAAGATTCTTAGTATTTGTTTATGGCGTTAACTCGCTTGCGGCGACGACAATGGGGTAATTTTCGCTTTTTTCAACGGCGTAATTTCACCGAGCCGCATCGGGGCGAGAGAAGCGCAAATTGGCTATCTTAGAAGCGCGAGGAGTGCGATAAAAGATAATTCGGAGATAACAAATACAGTTCAGGGGTCAAGGGTTTTTATTTTTTATTTTAGGAAAAACTCGTGTTCATCGAGAGTCGTGCCGCGCGTCATCGCCGCGCTATCAATCATGTTGAATCATGTATGCGCCATTGCCCTGCGCTGAGCGCTTTTGTTCGAATTTAAAAAAAAATATAACGAGAAAGATAGAAAAAAATAAAATTGGTTATTTCTTCTTAATTCTCCTGCTTCTTTTGCACACATAAGTATGTATGGTTTTATCAACATTTAAAAATGACAACAGTTAGTGTTTAAGTTATAGTTTATGCGCTACAATTAGAAACAGCGTTACAATTACAAAGTTGCCCGTTCATTTTTTTTTGTTAATAAGTTTTGCTCAATAATTAATACAGTATGATTGCAATTAGCACTCTTCGTTTATAATAAGGAATGTACCCGACTATAGCCAATCAAATAATAAAACATTTATAGAGTGTGACACCGTTAAAAAAGTAGAGAAAATTGCTAATGGTGTATGATATTGCCTCCCCTCATTTTTGGGGTAAGAAAAGACTAGGGGTGGCAGCACCTTCGTTCTCCCGAGAGTTTTTTCCGAGGCGAGCATTTCTTGTATTTCTCGACGGGTGTTTTTTGCGTAATGACGTCGAGGTCCTGGGAGAGTTGGACGAATCCATTAGATAGGCGGGAAGAGCTTAATGTAGCATTTTTTTCTCCTGTTCCCAATCGGAATCGGGTGAAAAAACAGTGTCGCATGTGTCGCCGAGAAGCACATTAGTAGCATTTGTAATGACTTTTTATTTCTGTAGGTGTACGGAATGGGAGGGTCGATCGTTCTGTTTGTTTGTTTTCCCAGTAGTGTAACTTTCCTCAAATATTTCTTTTGAAATAAAGATGTTTGAATGTATTTAATTGATGAAAACAGGTATATACAAAATAAAAAAATAATAATCAAAAATCTCTTAAACTAAGAACTTCGATTATCACACAGTCCTACTCCCCGCGGTATTGTGTCAAGAACGCTGGCTGCGTGTCCTTACTGAATGGTTGCACTTAGTTTTTAAGCTAGAAAAAAATAATTTTAATTGCCAGAAGAGTACAAAAGAGGGTGTAGAATAAGAAGATTTATACGTGGTAGAGTCATGCTGCAGCTATATTTGTATGTTTGTAGCACGAATGGGTGGGCTCGACCGGGGAAGGACCACACTCTAACAGAATACCGCCATAACATAGCAGCTTAATACTGCTGTGTTTCGTATGGTGAGTGTAGAGAACCGGGGACCCTTTTTACTGGAAACGAGGCGTTTCAACTTTGCCCTCAAGGGGTGACAACGCCTCTGCGTTTTGATTCTTAATCGAGGATAAATGTAGATGTCTATGGGACACAGCATCCACTTACCGTCAGCTGGACTGTGTGCTCGTTTGTTACCCATATTCTGTTAAACAACAATTAGTAACAAGCACACATCGGAATTTTAAATATAATATAATAGATGTAATATAAAATATTATACATATAAGACTCTCTTCATTATTCAAACTGAATTGGGAAGGTGTTAACGGCACAAATTAAAAAAGAGTGAGTTTTTATACTTATTATAATCCAGTGTTTGTCTACACACCCACCTGGTGGTAAGTGGTGATGAAGCCCAAGATAATAAATGGGACTGTCTTAGCGTAAAAATATTTTACTCGTGCCTATTCACTCTTGCCTTGAAAACGCACAGATTGTATTCGTCTTAGAAACAAGTTGTCAAAAGTAAAAAGGAAAACGATAGCCTACTATAATATGTTCAATTGGTAATTATTAGAATCAGGCGTTACTTTGCGTAAATAAAGCGTAATTAAATAAAATGATGTACTATTCCTAACGCTTGGTTTTCTAACGCCAACACGACGTGACATCAGTACATACATGGCGGCCAATCTCAAAGGATTCTAACGATCTGCGCAGGACAGGGTTATAGAGGCCGAGTGTATGTCACTCTCTATCCTGGAGTCTGATGGTACGGCAATCCGACACGACCGGGGAGTGATCAAGCGCAGGACTAACGGATTTACATGCTTTCACGGAGATGAAACACCGCCAACTTCCTGACTTGGGCTGCTGAGAATTTCTTGACAGAAAAACTTAATTTTTTTTGGCACGTAAGAGTAGCATTTATGATCACTAGACCAACAAGACAGTTTACAGTATAGTTGCTGTATATAAACCGACAAAGCTTTACAATCTGCTTTGTTTTTCTCAATATTTAAATGTTGTGTATTGTTACAGGCAAATGGTGTCCATCGCGGCGCGAGTGGTCGTCACCGCCGGACGTAGCGCGGCGGGTTTACTCCTCAGTGTTCTTGGGTAGTCCGGGTGAGTACCCAGGTAAATATCATTTCATGTATTCATTTCACTTTTTACGTGGTAGAGCTACACTGCAGCTATATTAGGGCTCCATCACGAATGGGACGCCTCGAAGCCTTCTTAGGTCCAGCCGACCCATTTCAACGCTCTTAAAGAATACCAGCTTAATGCTGCTGTGTTTGTTATGGTGAATGTAACGGAGACCCTTTTAACTGGTAATGAGGTATTCCATCTTAGTTCTCAGGGGTGACAATGCATCCTTATTTTGATTCTTAGACATGGATAGATAACTACAGGCCACAGTATCCCACTTACCATCAGGTGGAATGTTTATTCGTTTATCACCCCAATTCTATAAACAAATTATGTATGAACACACAGCCTATTAACTTCCTACTGCTCGGCAAAACCTTCTTTCAAACTTGATAAGTTTAAGGGCAAAGCGCTGCCTTTAGGCGTTTTGTCATTCTTCACAAATCCCGATTTTCTTAAAACTACATTTTTTTAATTAATATCGTACACTTCTTCTCCATGCAGATTTCCTCGCGATGTTTACCTTCACCACCGAGCTCGTGGTAAACTAGCACTTAAAATTGCCATTAATTATCTCAGTAGCGCGGACGGGATGGAACGTGGTTTGGTTGCGTGCTATAGTAAGTTTTTTTTTCATATAGGAGAGGCAAACGTGCATGCGGCTCACCTGATGATGTGTCGACCGCTCCCCTGAACAATTGCAACACCACGGGAATTGCGGGTGTATTGCCGGCGTGTTGCCGGCCCTTTATAAAAAAGTGGACTATTTCGTAAAGTAAAATCCAATTTTTGTACCAGATTTGAAACTGAGTTCACTTAAATTAAACGAAACACGGAGTTCGAAGTTTACCGACGGGACGGTAGACACCTACGTTACGATCCTGTGAGCGTTACATACCTTACGTTTTTATGAGTGTTAAACATTATATATTTTAGTTGATTTTATTTGTTTTCTATTAAATAAATTCCATATTTTAACTATTTCAGTTCGCGTCAAGCAACACAAACTACCTAAAGATTAACTAATTGTTAAAAACAAAAGTATTTTTAATATAATCTCTCGAAACTTCTAATTAAATTATTAATTCAAACAATTCCCAGACAAGTTATTATAGAACAGTTATATTGGATTTTAAATATAAAAGGCTTAGAAGCATAATTACTGTTCATAAGTCGAAAATAAAAATACTTCCAGCGGAAGACAAATTTTTCATTTATTATTGCGTACATGAGACGCTATCTCACAAAATCATTCTTAAAGATATAAAAATCCTTCGCAACAAAATGTCCCTTACATAAAAATAAAAAGTATGAATTCTCGCACCAAAACTGGCTGGTCGAAAATCGTGTCGAAAAATAATTTGTCCATGATAGGCAAATGGATTAATTAACGATCAGTTGCAATAAATTCAGAATTTTTGTCGCCTAATGTCTTCAGATTTATAATTTGTTAAATAAACTGATAATGTCATTTTCGATTTCAACTTCTTATTTACCAAAGAGTTTGTAATATCTTGAGCTCTCAATTTACTGCCATCGATATTCATTATAATAAATTATGTTCCCGTATTTATCTTAATACCAAGAAATTCGAAGTGTATTTAATTTCGCTTTTTTATATTGAATAACTAGAATGTTTAGTTTGTTTAGTCCGTACGAGCATACGGACACCATGTTGGTATGGTAATATAATCCTATTCCGTTATATCCGAATCAGGTGCTAGCAAACTGTTATTTATAATATATGTAATGACTATTAGTGTCAATGTTTTTAATAAAGATAAGTCGGCTAAACTTAGGTTAATTTGGAAGGTAAGATTTCATTTTTCTATACTTAAGTTTACTTGCAACCTAAAACGACTATTGTATGCTAAAATTGAGGAAGCAAACGAAAAAAAAAAACGAAATTAAAAAATAAAAGAAAAGAGGTTAGATTTAAATTCTTTATGTGTTTAATAAACGTTAACTTGCCCTGTAAGGTGATCTATTATCCCATATAACCCCATCGGTGTCGTGAAAGGAAACAGAGGAACCTAAAACAAAAGGTGGAGAGCGGCATCATCCAGATGACAGCTGAAAATAGAAAAACTGTTTTTACCAACCCGCCTTCCAAGTATACAACTATGTTTTATCACCCCTGTGAGATAATCGATGAGGAACGCCTATGTTCATCAGTGGACTGTATGCTATGTGTGTAACTTGTCGGGGTCGCGAACATTTATATAATACATTATGATAAAAAAATTATTGCAAGCAAGTATTTTGTCGAACAGTCCATGAACAAAACTAAACTACTTCAAATTTGATAGACTACAAAGTCTCTCAAAAGAATACCGACGACCGATCTTACATTCCAAATATCAATAGAGAAGTTGGTTGGTTACCATCTGCTTGGGACCCTATAATTAATAAAATAAAATCCAAACCATAGCATGTCTATAGGTACCTAACAACAGCAAGACTTGATACTTCAAGCTCGTTTTACGCAGATTGGACCAAAAATTTATATTCAAGAGCCTAAAGGTAGCCCGGTCTAACTATGACATCAGGACGTTAGACACCTCAGTCCCCCGGTACTGTAAAGCAACCAAAACGTCGGAAATAAAAAGTAAGTTAAATTAAACGCATTAAATCCGTAAATTAGTTTCATTCAATTAGTTTAGGCTTCTAATCTTCTTGAGTTTACTTTTTACACTAAGAAGTAAGATCTAAGATACATGACACTGTGCTCAAGCAACAATCGTGGTTTTTATTCCGTTTGATTAAAACGCAACGGACCAGTTATATTATACGTATATATGTGTATTTTATTAACTGGTTTGGTCATTCTCAAGCGCCTACAGATATTTGTTAGCCGCCATTACAATATCGACGCTAATTATTTGACCCATTTTTATTTCATATATTTATTTATTCACGTGCTTACTTAGATATTTTCTAAATTACAAACACTGAGTTTTATCTTTAAAAAAAACATCTTGTTAATGCCCTGTGATTGTCTACTAGGCTGTCATAAACGTGTTAGTGGGTCAGTTACACAGAAATCCATATCTTCAAATTCTTCGAACACAAGCTTTAATTTGTCATTTACATACTGTGGCATCAATAAAGCAACGCCATCTACCGGCTTATTCGGAACAATGTGACATGAGAATGCGCTATTAGTCCAATTTAAACTTTATTCGTATGTGTTATAGTTTCAATTAGCGTTACGACACAATACGTACACAACGTTAACTATACGAGCTAAGTAGTTTGTATATCCATTTCGTTGATGTGTGTGCATGACGTGTTTCTATCTCTTTCTTATCATAATTTATCAGCATCAATAACCGTTTCCATTAGACTGAACCTTAAAAAAATTTCCTTCGGAAACCGTAGCTACGGTCGTTGCATTTGTACGTTACGTCCACTTTTTAATATTATTCCCGTAATATACATCTTTGATATTTACAAAAGTAAGACGTAGAAACAATAATAGAGTGCTTAAATCAGAAATGGAATCGGCGAAGGCAAAGTCAATTTATTCGGAGCTTCGTTACAATTCCGATTTTTATCTAACGTCCCGAATGAATGCCGCCGAAGACGGATTACAGTGGACGGAGAGCTGACAAAAACTCCGATAGAGAGGGACGCTACGAAGAAATCGATTCCGTCCTCAGTAAGAAAGAATCGTTTCGACCCGAAAGAGTGAGCACGAGCTCGTCTTTACGACGTGTGAAAGAGATAAAACAATTCTTTATGTCGCTATTCTTAAGTCATTTGTGCATTCGAAATGGCACGTTATTGCTAGCCATTAAGGTCGCAGTTTCATTGTTATGATTGCACTTTGACGATTGTGGCGTGCTGCAATGTAACGTTATAACTTCATTCAGCGGTGTACGTGATAGCATCCTTATGTCGTTTTAAATAAGGTCGTTATTTGGGCGGGCGGTACGTGGGGAAGGATAGGCTGGATGTGCACCGGCGGTTGCTATGGTTACATGCGCGTTGGAATGTTTAGGCAGGCGGTGCACGGAGTAGGTACTGAAGCGGGCCGCCTGTTTTATTTGATCTTTACCATTAATTTAATTGCTAATAAGTACATAACGATAATGTTTATTTTAATATGTTATAATAATAAAACTGTGTTGTTGGCGGGTTAATGGTACTAATACATATCACTATATTAAGATGTAATTAAACAATATAATAATAGTATACTTAATATAAGTTTACATCCTTATTATTGGAGAACTTTTAACGTAACATTAATGTGTATAAAATTGTTTTAGTGTTTTTCAAATTACGATTTAATTTTTTATAGCGTCTCAGTTGCCGATAGTGCTCATTGATTCTTTATTTTTTATTCTTTTTGGGATGCGTAAATTTCATGGACATACTCGTTTGTAGTTATGTAGTTGTTCTACGTTATGTAGTTGTTCGTCCAAATAATTAGGTACGACGGCTCGCCTTCGTGGCGAAGCGAGGACTCATTTTTAATAATATTCTCTTTTCGAATTTACGTTCGAGATTCGAAATTAGAGTCCGACAAAGATGGCAAGCAGGCGATACGCAAGCGCGAGTGGGAGAGCACTCAATTGCTCAATTTGTGCCTCAGCTCATAAGGCCTTCGGGTTCCTTTTTCAAAAATCCAATGAGATCGATCGCTTGCCATGTCCGCAAATTAGAGCGGGAATCGTTGTTCGTTAACACTTTACCGGTCAAGAAGGGTTTAAACGCCATTGATATGTATTCGAAAGTAGCCGCTGTTCCAATGCCACTCGGGCGATAGTTTCCCGCGTGTTGTAATCTTCATCAATGTTTGAGAGCGATTCAAAGCGCGCCGCTGAGCGTACAGAGGTGCATTTTAGTATTACCGGCGGTCTCGGAGCGCTCATTTCGCCCGAACCTTTTAAAGATGTTGAAGATCCACTCCCGAAGGTCGTACGGGCTCATGCGCGAAAATTGCTCTCTCGCAAAGACCGTGCGTTTATATACTTTTTTAT